AACCCAAACGACCTTCTCTTAAACTGCAGTGCAGCCTTGATACGCTCCCATGATGTGAGCTGGCTCGTCTACACTGCTTACACTTCCCTCTGGACAATTTCCAGTCTCACCACAGTTAGGGCTCTTGTCCCTAAACTTCCCTGTGCCAAGGGCCTTCATAATTACATTTATACACATTGTCTCTAAATGGGGTATATTTGACGTGGGTTGCATTCATTTTTTTTTATATAAAGCATGGGGAAGAAGTGAGAAAAATAAGTATCTCTCAAGAGCTTTCATTATTGATAGTTCTTGGGTTAAGGAAACTCTTCTTTTTCAAGTAAGGCACTGTGCCAAATGCTTTCTGTGGATACCACATTCAAGCTCTTGCCCTGTCAGGTGAGGTGAGCATCAGGGCCATTCTACAGATGGAGAGCTGTAGCTCACAGAAGCCCAGTCATCCAGCTAGAAATGGCTGGAGGCATAGGGTGGTCAGTGGGTGGCTAGAGGCGCAGGCATTTATGAAGCCACACGGAATAGCTACTATCGCTGGTCATACCCTCCACCGTGAAGAGCAAAGGTTGGACCCCAGAGTGCCCCTACACAACCGTTCATCTCAGGCCAGACTATTCATTGACAGACACCTAAGTGTATGCTCTCTTCAAACTCTTTGAAGGTTCAAAGCATACAAAGAAAGATGGTTCTTGCCTAATTAAATATTCTATGATCGAATCTGGGAGGTAACAAGGCTACGATATAAGTAGGCTACACAACATAAGCATCTGTAGTCTCCAAAATGCACACAGGTGATGAAAGGCCAAGACATTCAAAGTGAAAGCATAAGAATGGCACTCATCACAGAAGGGTAACTGGTGGTTAAAGGCATTTATCTTTAGTAGGCATTTGAAGGCAGAGTGGCATAATGTGATGAACCAGGGTTCTATAGATTTTACTTGTCATAAATATCCTTTAATGACAGGGCAAAAAAGAGATTTTGAAGTAAGGCGAGGGCTTTTTTAAAATTTATGTTATTGTGAAATTACTGACTCCTTAGAGCACCAAGGCTCAGAAAGTAAATTTTTAGAAAAGAAAAACAGAAGACAACAAAGAAGGGTATCATGATTTAGAGCAATGGCAGGAAGGCAAGTTGCATCTAGAAATCACTAAAGAGAAGTTTGTTAAATAAACGGTTTCTCTTTGGAAGGCAGATGTTTATCACTAAATACTCCTCAGAAGTGCAGCTTATTAATCTTCATGGGGAGAGGTCTGGCCACTTTTGCTCCTTTGAAGGTCATAAAGAAATGAGGAGAGAAGCTTGACAATAGTTCTGAAGTCTGTATTCACGAAGCAACCCTGAACCAAACTGATGCTCATGGCTAACCACCCACCTTTCCTTCTAAGATAGGGAATGGTGCTTACACACACACACACGCACGCATGCACACAACCATCTTCCCTGATTCTGGCCCAGCAATAGAGATTGATGCTCAGGATGAGTTGTGTCCCTAGGATACTATACCAGTGTTTTCAAAAGTAGTACATAACATATTGGTTTCAACTCCAGTTAAGCAAGAAGAAATGAAACCAAGCTTGCTTGATGAAGTATAAAACTGGAGGTGATAAGGGAGCAGAACCAAACAAAAGCTCATGGTCTCCTTACTCAGAAGCAGCGGTAGGGTAAAATCTTGGGAAACAGGCCTGAAATATACACGGCAGTAAAGTGTTCCTCAGACCTGAGGCCAAGAGATGTCTCCTCTGCTTTTAAATCCCAAATGGGGGATGAGTTCAACTTGAATGATACAAGGTCATGGAGGGGGTCAGCTTGCTCCAAACTCTGCAGAGAATATTACTTTTCATGAGCCCAGGGAATCTGACTCATATATTATCACTGTATACCCAGCCCCAGGACAGGACCTGGCCCAATAAATATTCCAGGAACGAACATATAGATGAATGAACTGAACAAACATGAATGAAAGCACAAATGCAAAAATGCCATGTGACAGTGGGTATTTCCCCTCTTGAGGACCTCAGTAGAAGCAAGAGTAGAGGTAATCTGCCCAGCCAGCATTTCCTCTCTAACATGAGCCCTGTATGAGCTCATGCGAAAAGAAGTTAAAAGGATAGATGTAAATGGTCTTCCACCTATTGCTGCAAATCTTAGCAGGGCCCAGTAAAAAGGTACCAACGAAACCTACAAATAAGTTTTTCAGATTTTTACCTGAAAGGAGTAATAGAAATGGCTTGTATTATTATTCATAATAGCCAAGTAGTCAGCAATGACATACCCATATGACTGAATACACACCCACATCCTTCTCCCCACAGAAGGCAGGCTTATTCCCTCTAATGTGGGTAGGATATTTGGGTAAGGTCCTTGTTTAGGGCAGTAATGACTCCATTACTCTTTCCCACTTCTTCCCCAGCCCACCCCCAAATACATCCACGTTTGCTACTTATATTACCAAACCCCTTATAAAATGTATTCTTGCTTCCCACCACCCAGAAAACTTAACTTACCCATTCTCCTCCAACCCTACACACTTTCCGAGTAAAAACTTAAAGGTGGCATCCAAAAGCAAGCCTCACTTTTCACTTAATAAAACCCAATAATTACTCTGCTGTCTTAAGTCAAACACTCCTGCTGATCTGATACAAACCATACAAAATAAGCATTTTCCTTCCCCCTCAATGCCAACAGCACAAAGTGACTCAACCCTCCCACGCACCAGCCCCTTCAGTTCCCAGGGTGCCTGCTGACATCCTTGTCACCACACACTCGCCGTTTTATAACCACATTTCTTCCCTATCTTCTCATTCAACCTGATGAACCTTCTCCATGTCAGCACCCCTCTCTCTAGCTTAAACAACGTCAGGTTTGGCTCTTTTGCCACATGGTGATAGTGGCCAAAGATACTGTTATCTGACAGATAAATGTAAGAAGGAAGAATTTTTCCTAAACATTCTGGTTCAAGGAAACGAATCACCCTTCTCATACTTGGGTAGCCAACTTTCAAACAGAGTAATCCACAAGATAAAATGTACTTAACAATTGAAGTTATACTGAATTTTAACAAGTCTTAGATGATTCAGAGGGCACTGTAGAAATATTGCAATACTTATGACTCATCATAATGTGTATCAGTGATCACTGGCTGGTAGGTTTTGGAAATGCCAGTGATGGATGCATCAGATTTGCTTCTTCTCAGTTGTTTTGTTGCATTGAATAGGGGCAGCAAATCTCTGAATATACCTGGAAAAGCTCTAGGGAGCCCTCAATGGGTTTTGTTTTTATTGAGATGTAACTGACACATAAGATTCTCTAAAGTTGAAGGTGTACAATGTGCTGGCTTAATGCATTTATGTAACTTAATATGATGTAACCAAAAACAGGCAAGGCTGCAAAACAATTAGTTGCATTTATTTGGGGTCTTAGCGATTGCAGGACATACCAATTTAGGTAGCAACCCAAACTGTGCTCTCAATTGCTGACAAAGTTCAGGGTTTTCAAAGATGGACAGCAGGCAGTCTATTCATTTACATAAGTTGTTTAGAACATTTTGTGATTGGAGCCAGCATTGGAGTTTGTACATTATTTAGTTTCTAATTGCTTGCTGTGGCTGGAGTCAGGCAGGTGTCCAGAGAAGTCCACAAAAATTGGTGGTCTCAGTAATGTGGCTGGCATTCTTCAAGAGACTGATGAGTACTGACCCCATTTCCTCCCGGCTCCATTTTTTGTTCCCCTTAGCTGTGCTGACTTCGCTTTCATTTCAGCTTGTCACATTTCACATTGATTACTATGGTAGCATTAGCTGATACCTCTATCATGCCACATACCATTTCTTTTTTGTGTTGAGAATAGTTATGATTTATCTCTTAGCAACTCCAGAGTTTATAATACAGTATCATTGGCTCTAATTACTATGTTGTGCATTACATCTGCAGGATTTATTTATCTACTAGTTGTAAGTTTGTTAAACATCCTTAAACATCTCCTCAAATCCCCATCAGCCAGTCCTTGTTAACCACCATCTACAAGTTCAATGTGTTTAGATTCTACATCTTAGTGTTATCATACAGCATTTGGCTTTGTCTGACTTATCTTGCTTCCTAACTGGTTTCTGTGAGAAATCTGATTTCATCCACTCAACAAATATTTAAGTTCCTAAAATGTGCTTGGCAGAATTTCTAAATATTTGGTTCTGGTATTAACTATTAAAAACGATCTCCTTCCTCAAGTACCTTATCAAAGAGAAAAGGTACCATATATCCCTGTTTCTGACTTTCTGGTAAAGATATGTTTTTGTCTATTTGCCCCACAGTGGTCAACTGGAGCGGATGGGAGTAGAAGTTTCAAAGGTTTTCTCTTGACTCATCTAGTCTGTTGGCCTACACAAAGTGCGAGGCATGAAAAAGTTTTTTAATCATTTTCACTTTGTAGACCATTTTTCTAATAAGAGAGCTGTACCCAAACATATCCCCATGCCAAGCTGAGATGGGCTCAAAAACTTATATATAGCTATGCCCTACCTCCTTCCTTCTGTCATGTAGCTCACTGATCTGGGGGCTTTTTGGGGGAGGGAAAGAATATTTGATATTTGACCCCTAACTTTATTCAAAATGTAATTAATCTGAAGACATACTGGAGGGAACCCGGACTCTGCAGGCCAGGAACCAAGCTCGCTCTTAGATTCCCTGTACTTCACCTTCCTAAACAATTAAAATGAATGTGTTAGTTCTTGCCCATAGCAATGTACAGAGCAAACAGGTGAAGGCTGGCTGGCAGGCTTTCTCTAAGACGAGCCACTGAAATGTGTCTTGGAGCTAAATAGCTACCTTTTCAGAAGAGTTGCGTCATTAAAAGAACAACCAAGCACTTTTGACACCCTGACGTTCTTCACTGTAATTCTTGAATTTTCTTGATGTGCTCATTTCAACTGAATCAAAATATAAACAAGATTTTATCAGCTCTGGTTAAATATTTTTAAATAAGGATATTTAGCACTATCCACCAAGACAACTGGATTTCACATATTTTTATTGAAAACATGCACAAAATAAATATTTGTCTCTAACAGGATATACAATATCACATGATTAAAGATAGTTAAGAATTGAAATCTTTCTGACAATATGGAGTGAAATATGACCTTTCTCTATTCTGAGTTTCTCTCTGGGTAAGAGAATAAACAGGATTATAAAGGGTCAAAATTCCTTTCTCAGTTGCTGCAAGCATCCTATCCTGTAGGTTGCTGTGTATATTTGCCTTATGGAAGGCAGAGACTGGGCAGAGACTGGAGTAACAACATTCATGAGTCTGTTTTGGTTTTATCTTCTTCCATTTTGTGGAAAATCTAATCTCAGAGTTCTCAGAAATCATTTATTCTAAGATCTTTTCCTAGGAAACACTGTGAGTCTTGCTTATTTTGTGAGTCTCCAAAAGGTTATAACAATACTTATAAAACAAGATATGAGGCAAAAAGGTATCTTTGAAAATAACATTTGAAAAGGGTAGAATGAAAATGGAATTAGATACTCCAAGTGTTGAGAAATGGGACCTAGTTGAGGGTTAATTCCTTTAAATCCTAACTTTTCACTCAGATTGTTCAAAATACCATCCATTTCAAGCTGGATTTGTTGCCAAGCTTATCTTTTTTAAAAAGTATAATAAGATACGTTTGTTGTAAACACCTGAAACAGTGTAGAAAGAATGAGAAAGACTGAGACTGTGAGTCCTCAGTCCTGGTCCCCCAGTCCCATTCTCCAGAGGCGACCACTGAAGACTTCCTTGTGTGTCTTCCCAGACATTGTCACTGCACAGACTTCCTTAAAACCCACATGTGTGCAATTATCATACACTCTGTGTTCTATAACCTGGAGATAGCAAGTAAGCATGAAGAGAGGTGGTTTTTTTGAGGGCTGCCAACGTGCTGTCCTCACGGTGCAGTAAAGAGAGCACCAGCAGGGACACTTCTAATATGAGATCTTAAAGACGGGTGTTGGGGCTTTTATGCCTGTCTCCTGAGCAAGATAAAATCACCGTGGTTTCCCCTCCACCCATCGAAAGCACTTTATGGGATGACCTACAAGAACCATACGGCAGACCCTGGGCAGGGCTGTAGGGACTCTGGGCCCACGGAGGGGCATTCCTGGCTTCATGGCCCTTTGCTCTCCCTACAAACCAGGGTCAGTCGAGAGGATCTGCCCACCAACTCATAAATCAAACTACTGAGCACCGGCCAGGGACCAAGTGCTGAGACACGATACATGCAAAGATGAACAAAGTCCCCAACCTGCCCTTCAGGATCACAGTCCAATGGGGAAATAGAAGGCTCTGTGGCCATAACAGCAGTGTGAAATATGCACAATGCTTTTTGGGGCAAGAGGAGAGATTGTTCCGCTTAGCTCTGAGGGCAGGGGATGGTTGGGACACTTTCCTGAAGCCCAGGGGTGGGGTTATTTCAGGGGAGGCCACAGTGTAAGCAGGCACCGTCTCAGTGCTTGCAGGGCAAGGCAGCATGTAGGGCCTCTGGGGCATAGAGGCAGGGTCAGTTCGACCAGCTGGGCCTTTTCTAAGGAGTTGGATGTGCCTGGTAATGGGGCTGCTTGCTGAGAGGCAGGCCTGAAGCAGCACACAGGCAGAGGGCTCACTCCTCTGCTGCAGGCCGAAGCCAAGCCAGCACACTGGGCTGCAGAGTCCAGGAGAGAAGCAGAGCATAAATCAGGGCACGGGCAGGAGAGAAGGACTGGAACTATTTCATGGGTGATGCTCAGGGTGTGAGAACCAATTGCATGTGAAGTTTGAGAAGAAGGGAGGGGTTAACGACAACTCCCAGGTTTAAAATATTGGTGATTGATAGTTGGAAGTCCAGTCTCTGGAAGTTAGGTTGAAAGATAATCTCTTCATTCTACCTTACCCTCCAATGTTCCTCCAGTCTTCCTCACCTCCCTTTCACTCTTCCACCCACCATCTGCCCAGGGCCCTAACACCTCAAAACTGCTCCATGGGGAAGACTGGGAGGAGGCCCCTGCCCAGCTGGAGGACCAGGCTGGAAGCCCTCCCTGCAGGCTACTCTCCTGGAGTCCTTTACTGCAGCTGCACCTGCACCACCCCTTCCCTGTTCCTACAACCCGGCCCCACCTTGGACTCCCCTCCCTTCGCATTCTTCCCAGGTGACCCTGCCCCAGCTGCAGCCCTATGTCCATCTCCATGTTGAAGTACCCTAGTTCTAATGCCAGACAGGCTTCCCAAATCCAGTCACATGCCCAACTGCCCATGTTCAGGCAGGTCAGATTGCCCAGACCTCACCCTTCTGCCCTCCTGTATCCTCTGTCTCACCAAATGGTGCAGTCACCACTCAGCCCCAAGCGGCTTGGGCCACGTGCGGGCTCTACCTCACTGCTGGCTGGCCCGACACCAACGTGCCACCCTGGCCCTGCCTCTGAGCTGTGGCTCACTCCAGCCAAAACATCCCTCCTTTCTTTAAAACATACATTTAACCCATAAACCATTTTTTACAAAGTCACTATCCTAGACTTCAGCTTACTATTCTGCCTTATTCTTTTTATATTTCATGTATATATTAAGTACCACATATTCAATACATACAACAACTCTACATATTACATATTAGTTACAAAGCATAATAAACACCCATAAACCTACCATCCAGCCCAAGGACTACAATATCACTAACACCTGAGTTCACCTCTGTGTTACCTGCTCTGTTTCCCCTCAGAGGTAATACTATGCTAAATTTGGGTTTACTGTTTTTACCTCTTTTCTTTTTTAACAATACAGTTTTACCATTTTTGTATGCATAGACAATATGTTCTTTGGTTTCACTTGTTTTTGAGCTCAATAAAATAGTATCACACCACATATGGTCTCCTGGAACTTGTATTTTTTTCTTAATACTTTCTGAGATTCATTTTTATTGTCAGGTATAGCTGTAGTTCAACTGTTTTCACAACTGAATAACATCCCTTAGTGTGAATATGCCTGATTTATTTGTCTATCTCCTGTAGACAAATGGACATTTCAGTTTTTCTAGTTATTAACTATTATGATGATGTTACTATGAATATTTTTGTCCATACCTCCTGGTGCACATGTACACAGTTTGTTGGGTACATGACTGTGAGCCTGAGTCATAAGCTAGATCCCAAAGTATGCAGATGTTCAGCTTTTTGAGGTATAACTGTTTTCTAAAGCAGAGGTGCCTGTTTACACACCTGCACACCAATCTCACAGACCTTCTTTAGCATCCAGTCCTGTTAGACTCTGCATTTTTTTGCAAATCTTATGGATGTAAAAGGGAATCTCAGTGTGGTCTTAATTCATATTTCCCTGATCTCCAATGCTGTGGAACACCCTTTTACTCACTTATAAGCCCTATGTATTTTCTCTTCTGTGAAATGTCTTTTCAAGTATTCTCTATTTGTCTATTGAGTTTTTGGGGTGTTTTTAAGTAAGAATTCACTATATATTCAGCTTACTAATCCTTTGTTAGGTAACTGCATATGTCTCAAGTCATGACTTATCTTCTCTTTATATTATTTATTAGCTTAACATAAGTCCTCGCTTTAAAACAGTTGATTTGATTGCCTTTTATGATTAGTGCTTTATGCCTCAAGAGATTCTTTCCTGCCCTGTTTCTTTTTTTTTTTTTTTCCATTTTAGTATTTGCTTTTTATTTTTAAGCCCTTATTGTATTTGTAATTTTTAGGTAAGGTGGAAAGCAGAAATCAAATTCCATTTTTGCCACACGGATCATCACACTGACTGGCACTACTTATGGAGTTATTCTCCTGTCCTCACTGATCTGCCAAGCCACCTCTGTTGTATCTCAAAGGGCAACATATGCATCATGTATTTTCCAGGATCCTTATTTCATGCACTGCTCAGAATGCTTACCTCTGCACCACATGTAATCTCTACATACTATTTGGTAAGTCCTCTCAACCTCTTCATATTTGGAAGTGTTCTGCCATTCTTCGTTTTTTCCTAATTCACATAAACTTGAAATCTGCTTGCCCTTTTTGACAAAACCTCTGTTGAAATTTCTGTGGGGAACGGCACTGAATCTATAGATCAACTTGGGGAGATTTGGTACCCTTACAACCTTTTATATTTTTATTTATAAACAAAGATAGTTCTTCATTTGTTCATACCTTGCTCCTTCATCTTTATCCTTCAAGTCCCAAATCAGGCCTTAATCCAAGCACTACCTTCCCTAACTTCTCTACTACCACAACTAAAGAAGGACAATATATCTTTTATGTGCAAATTTTTTAGATAACTGCAAAAGTCCAGGGAAAAGATGGTATGAGATGAGTTTGTGGTTTGTGGCTGGCGTGGTGGCATCCTTCTTCATTACTGAATATATCAAGCATTTAAAGACTAAGATGAGGCTGGTTCGGGACACACTGGGTGTGAGACGTCTTCAGGTCCTCCTGGAAGAGGCTGTTGGTTGTATGCTATACTCTTCAGGACAGAGGAGTGGGGAGGGAGATGATGATTGGATGAGACTGCACAGACTGAGAAAGGAACTAGGGACAGGCCCTTGAGGACACCAGAAGTCAATGGCAGAGGAAGAGACAACTATGAAAACGGCTAAGAAATGACCAGAAACACAGAAGGTTGGCCAGAAGAGTGATGTCAAGGGGGAACTAGAGAAAGGAGAGTTTTGAAGAAGTGGTCAGTATTGTCCAAACCCACAGGGAAAAAAATCACTGGAAAGGCCACTGGATCTAACAATTCAGAGGTCATTAATGACATAAGAGATGGATAAAAAAAAACCCTCTTCATTGAGTTAATGAGAGAGAGGGAGAAGGTGGTTGGCACACAGGAGACACTCAAATATCAGTTGAGGGCAAGCTTGAGAGAAACAGCAGGCAGACTATTCTACGTTAGCTCGGTCATGAGCGGAGGAAGGACGATGGCAGAACATCTCTCAGGAGAAACAGGCTATATAAAGCCCGCATCAGCCACAAAGAAGCCTCTCAGGACAGTAAGCAAGGCAAGCAGCAGACTGGGGAAGATTCCCAACAAGCGCTTCTTCAGAGGGAAACATGAACATGGGTTCTTGAAAGGAAATGATAAGAGTGAGTTCATGTGAGAATCACAGGTGGTGATGATAAGACAGTCTCTGGATGGACAGGCATCAACATAGAAAAGTCCCACATTCAGAAGGGTTACCTACCTGCCTGCCTGTAAAGTCACCTGACATAAACCAAGGAAGGGGTTTTCCAGGTCTATTTTATATTCTTTAATAAACACACAGGCACCTGAACTGCACAAACTGTTTTCGTCTTTAGATAAAAAGGCATCCATCAGGGGATTAGCTCAACATTGCATGGAAGGAAGCCATTCCATCACATCCATCACAGCTATGAGATGGTAGTATTTAATGAGATCAGGAGACTCTTGGCAACTGTAATCCAGATAACATACAGTAAAATGTTTGGGGGAGATTATTTTTTCTCACATCAGAATGGACCAATGCCTAGAATAACATACTACTATGGGACAGAAAATAAGTCCTCCAACTAAGTCTCAGGAAACAGGCCCATCCTCATCTGGCACAAATCAAACATACCTAAGGAGACCACAGAGTTCTCTTCACTTTAAGGGCAGGTGATGCCTGTGAAGAAGGTATGTTCCTCTGCAGGACACATACATGAACTGCAGATGTGCAGCATCACCAGTTCCCGAGGTATTTTCCCCTTCATCAACAATGGTCCTGAATGCACATTTGAGAGAACTGCTCTGGGGGGAAGGCCAGCTTATGTCACCAGAGGGGAGGAGAAAATGAGGACAACTGATGCCAGGACAGAGAGGGCAGCTTCTCCTTCCCAGTCATAGTGGTAAATGGGGTTACAATCCCGGAAAGGGCACCCGGTGTACTCAACCCAGTCAGTACCATGTGCATCCTCCCACTATCTTTTCACCTCCATTAATCTCGATTCCCTTCCTACCAGGTGCTGAGCTCGAGGCTCGAGGCACCAGGAACAGAGCTCGCCAGAGGCTACCACTCATGAAGCACTTGCTGTATGCCAGGTCTCGTGTCACCTGCTTATGTGCGTCATCTCGTCCAATACACACAAGCCCACAAGACAGGAACTAGTATCACTGTCCCTGTTTTATAGATGACAAGACAGTGTTGGAGAGCCTATGCAATTTGCCTGTGTCATACAGCAAGTAACTAGAAAAGCTGAAATTTGAATCCGTGTATGTCTGACTTCAAAGCCCACACACTCAGCCATTTTCCCTGACATAACTGGAAACAAGTCAAGGTGCTACTCCTAAACCTCATGCGCCATAAAGGAAGAATGGAGTGGAATCACGATGCTCTTCACCTGTTCAACTGTGCACGGAGCACCACAGCTTAGCCAAGCACCCACTCGATCCTAGAAAATGACTAATATATGTTCACCACCCGTAACAACCACTCTCTCTCTCCACCTCCTTTTCTTTCCCCCAGGGCAAGGGACTAGGAAATGATGAGAGAACAAGAATGCTTGAGGAACGGTACTGTACTTGGCCATACTGGGGCACACAGCTGAGTATTTCTGACAAGCCCACAGTGAGAACATGCCTTTTGCCAAAGGGATTCTGCAACCATTTACTCGAGCCCTTGGAAAAAGAGGTCTTCCAGAGAGAATGCAGAGTCATATCTTCTTCCCTGACAGAATCTACAGTTGTAACCTTTTAGATTAAAATGCCCCATTTCTCACAGGGCCATTTTGCCACAGGGTCACATTTCTCTATACATTTCTCTGTTCAACTGAGTGTCAGGCTTTTTTCAAAGAGAGAGAGAGAGAGAGAGGGAAAAAACAAATTAAATGGCTTCCTAGAGCCAAGGCAAAAAATGAAAAGAGCAAGCTGACTTACTTTGAAATGCAAAAGACCTCCATGTCTAGCTTGGCCCATCCCCAAGGGACCAGGAACACCAGCTGAGTTTTCCTGCCTGTCCTTCACTCAGGGTCCCTGGGAAAGAGCTGCTTGCTTTCTGGAAACCGCAGAAGTCCCTGCTCCTCTACAAGGTTCCACCAAAGGCTCCAAAAACCTGAAACAGGGCCAATGTCGGCCTCATGCAGACACACTTGCTTCTTGCTATTATTTTTAAGGCACTCCAGGGTATATTTCCTTGAGAATCATCAAGTATAGAAGAGGAAAAAAAGAAGTTAGTCTGTGTCGTATCCCAAAATGGGCCCGAGCCATTTCTCAACCTCAGCCACAGTCATGTTCTTCCTCAAAGCATAATCCTGAATCTGCAAAAGATTAAAGGCAGCTTATTAAACCAAAGGATAAGACTCTTTGAACTGAAGTTTTCATAGGATTTGCTATGAAACATTAAGTACCTTCCATTTCTTGTCTTAATAGCAATCTACTGAGTTAAATGGAGATGGATATTTATCTATTCACCAAGCTGCCTTATTCTTTGGGCAGAAAAACAACATACAGTAAATATCTAATGCTTAGAAGCTGGCTAGGGTGTGTGTGTCTGTGTGCGCATGTGTTGAACTGGTGTGTAAACACGAAGACTAGACACGGGGTAATGGGTTGAAATCAAATGAAGACATTAATTGAGGTAGATTTTTTTACCCTTTCCATCTTACTGTGTTTTTATTCACATGTAAAATAAAATAGGTCCTACAGTTCCACTTGAAATAAGACAAGCATCTAGGGAGGCCATATACAATGAAACAGCTAACTTACCTGATCCTTGGAAATTTTCCCAACAGCAAAGTATTTGGATTTCAAATTGGAGAAGTAAAGGCCGGAGACGGCTGAAGCAGGTGCCATTGCTAATGATTCCGTTAGCCTAATGCCTGAAGAGGAAAATACTGATCACTTAGTGCCATGCGGTTGGGCAGCCAACAGGCCCCATCAACTCTTGGGGAATAAGAGAAGAAAGAGAGCTCATGCCTTCTAGGTGGACACAGTACACAGCATGAAAGGCGCAGGTGGATTAAACTTGCAAGTCCCCGCCAAGGGGATGAACGAATTCAGAACATGCAGCTCCTCTCGCCCAGGAGTACAGGCCTGGGGAAGACTCTCCCCTTACCCCCGCCATCCAAGCTCAGTCACAGAGGTCCCCATTTGCTCCTAAGCCTGGGCCTTCTCAGATAAGGAGCTCAAATCCTGGAGATGGGAGCACCTGCAGAGCCTCCAGGGGCTCCTAGGGGGACAATACCAGGGATGGCCAGCAGAGTATGAACCCACAAGAGTGCTTCAGAGGAAAGGCCCTTTTCCTTTGGAGTTTGGAACTCAAAGGGGACATCAAGGCTAGTTTATCTAGTAACATCTAGTCTAAGCCATTCACTATATGGACAAGGAATAGCAGCACAAAGGTAAGAGCTTTTCCAAAGATTACACAGTTTATGGCAGACAGGATGCTCAAATACACATTTTACAACTCCTAGAATCTATGCTATTCCTGCAAATCCAGGTCCAAACAGCCTCACAGCTCCTCACTTTAATCCAGATCCCTTTCTCTTCTTCAGCATTGATGGCATGCTTTTGATTAATTCCACAGGAAACTGTTAGCTGTGTTAAAAACAAGGAGTGGAAGGGAAGGTGGGAATTCTGCAAGACTAGTCTCCAGATATGATGTCCATGGCAATGGAGAGAAAGGGATGTAAAATATGTCACTAAGGTTACAGGGGCCACTAAGGAAGAGATTAAAAACAGTTATACCCCTGCAGAAGGAAGTGGGGCAGGGGATGTACAGGGTAAGGTGATAAGCTAAATTCCATCTGTTACACGTTAAGACAAAATAATGAAAACAGACAAACCCAAAAATGGTGATGGAACATTACTATTCAATATGTAGGTAAGATGCTGGGAAAAATGGCTACAAGTACAAAAGAATGGGATCAAGGATGATTTCAGGATCAGGGATGCTTTCATGGTAGGCCTGTCCATATTTAAAATTCTGGCCACAGGTGCCATTACTCTGATAAAAGCCTGTCTATCTGTGAGGAGGGAAGGTTTGGTACGCCCCGCCTGGCATGTACCTGTGCCCCGCTCGATGTCTGCGAGCCTCCACATGGTGAGCTTCTCAGTGTGGTCAGGCTGGCTGGGGTAGCCAGGCGCTGGGCGGATGCCCCTGTAGCGAAGCCTTCGCAGGTCTGCCACGTCCAGCTGCTCGCTGCTGCAGTAAGCCCACAGCTCTCTGCGGACCCTCTCATGGAGCTCCTCTGCAAAGGCCTGGGGGCCGAAACAAGGTGTTCAGCCAGAGGCAGAAGCCCTTGCATTCAGCGCCCTCCACTCTGGTGATAGCCACCCAGGTTGCCACCCTCACCTGGGCCAGCACTGGGGAAGGCTTGGCAAGAGGGGATAGACTGGCTTCTCCATTCATTTATAGTTTCATTAGCTGCTCTGCAGCTCAGTTTTGGCCTCAACCTAGGCTCTGAAGTGTCAGAGTGAAAGATCTGAGAACTCTAGAACTTTTAACCTAAACACTGCCCTAACGGTCGACCGGCAGCTGCTGGCAGAAGAAAGAGAAGCCGGGACCCTCACAACTGCTGGTTTCTTGCTGGGAGCCTGAGGAAAGGGAAAGGCCCCATGGCTGAGGTCACCCCATTCCACGCATAGGAAGGTGAGGAGTTCACGGAGGATACCACATTTGAACTAGGAGCTCTGAAACACGAATTTTGGGGGCTCCTCAGGAAAATGTCACATCATGACAATGGGAGGGAGACATCAGAACAACAGAAAAGAGGTCAAGGTGTCAAGCGTGACTATAAACTATGGCATCATGGAAGGTTTTTGTTTGCCCAAAAGAAGAGGTATGAAAAGAATTTAAGAACAGTTGATTTAACACTATGTATGATGTCAAAGCCAGCCTCATCTGACTTGGGAAGAGCAGCCAGGGCAGATTCCAAGGGCTGCTTCGCATTCGGCGCCCATCATGCCCCCGCGTCCACTGGTGCCCCAGTGGCTGCCGCTCTACCTCCGCCAGCCGGTCCCCCAGCGCCTTGACCATGATGCTGCTGTAGTCGTCACACTCCTCCACGTAGGCCCTGCTCAGGTCCTCCACTCCAAAGCAGGCGACAGCAAACAGGCCCAGGTAGTCGCGGATGCCCGAATGCAGAGGGGCGATGAAGTCCGACAGGCAGTGGTGGGGATCTGTGCAGGCAGAGTCCTTCTCAGCCTGGAAACCCAAGGAGTGGGCAGAGATACCGTGAGCAAGGACGTGGAGCCAGCACACAGCGGGCAGCCACCTCGTCTCGTCGCGTGATGTGAGCCTCCAACAGGGATATCTGTCCGTTTTGTTCTCTGTTACATGCCCAGCACTTCAGAGTGCCTCATACATAGTGGGTATTCAATAAATATTTACAGAATAAACCAATGAAACGACACATGACATGATGTGACACTCAGTCAAGAAACCAATTACTTCCTTTTTCTCATTAGTATTTTGGCCGAACAGATTCCAAGTGCCTCAGGCACTGTGCTGGAAACTGGATCCTAAACATTCACACAGAAACATCCTTCCCCAAAAGCGTTTTTAAGATCAACATGAAATTCTCAAGAATGCTTGAAAGGAGTCCACTGGATATATATAAGCCTCAACTTTTCATCAACAGAAGCAGCTCAACCAACGGCCAGGGTGGTCTACACAGGGGCTGCATGCTGCCCACATGCATGGTGGCTCAGGGGCAGGCAGGGATACCCAGGCTGGCCAGAAACCAAGTGCAGAAGTCAGCATGACCTCCTGCTGGGAGGCCACATGTCTGTCCTTGCTCGCTTCTTGCTCTTGGATGCTCACTGTCTCTTCCCTATTACAAATAAGGTCTGATACATAGCTCACAATCAATATATACTTGCTGAGAGGGTAAATAGCTCATAACTATTCTTTGAGTACTTACTGTATGTCAGGCACTATTCTTGGTGCTTTATATGAATTAAGTGATTTTAATCCTCTCAACTACCTTGTGGAATAGCTGATACCATCAGCTGCATCTTATGGACAAGAAGTCTGAAACAGAGAGACAGCTTGATCAGCAAGCTCCAGGGAAGACAGTGGCAGGCCCAGGGCTTGAGACCACAAGCAGCATTCTTGGCTACTATATGGCACTGTTCAGGAATGACCAATGAACCAGTGAGCAGCCAACCCAAATGCTTCAGAGCTCTCTGCTTGCTGGTTCTGAAAACAGCACAGACTAAACAACACTGGGCATAAAATGGTTAAATGGCTGCAGAAAAGAGAGGGTGTGATAATGGCACATAGAATGCCACAGAGCTCAGAGACAGCTATGCAGGAAGGGGCTGCTCTCCAGCTATACTCTGCTCACCAACTATTCTTTGCTAACAAAAGCCAGAGGGAGATATGAGGCTTCCTGGCACCACCAGGGGACAGGTGGCATAGCCCCCGAGTGTTAGGGAGACACCGATCACAGCTACTCAGAACAGAAGACTCCCAGAGCAGTAAGTGCTGTAGCCAGAATTTTCCAGACTACTGGAAGAAAACATCTCTTCAGAGATCTGAGTAGGTAATATACATATATTGTGAGTTCCTGACGTTAAATGCCCTAATACAGTCTGTTCACATACTGTCTGGGCACAGATGGTGTTGGACACAAGAAGAGATCGGAAGACACAGGACTTCAGGGATGAGAAAGTGGACCCAGGCAGAGGCTTCTGAGGTTGGTTACAAAAAGTTACCACCTCCTTGTGGAGGAGGGGCTGAGACTTAACCTTAGCAGCCCACTGCCTTGCACGGGGTGCTGTCAGCCTGAGTCTGAGGGCATATAGTGCTGATATAACTGCCCTTGGCTACCTTATTATGGCACCGTTGGCTGTCCCCAATTTAAGAATCTCTTCAGATGTTGTTAAAGTTCAAGTATCTGTCATTATGAATTATATCATAGTTATCATTTAAAAAAAAGCTGACTTTTGAATGACTGAAAGTGGCAGTAAAACTTCACAGAAATAATTAACTGCAACCCCTTATTACTGACTCTGGTGATTGCTGGTTCCAGTTATTGATTAGCACGACTCTATTTTCTAGCAGCTAGAGGAACATGCACATGACATCTGCACTGAAGGTGGGGACATATGGGAGAGGGCCATGTTGAGAGTAGCCTGCTGTTCACACTGAGGGAAATCGGTGCATTGACAGAGCAATTGTCATGGGGTGCAGACAGGCTGGGCCCCACGAGCTATGGGACAAGCAAGGTTCACTGGCCTCAGTCTTCTCTGTAAACTGTCTGACCACAAGGCTGTGTGGAAATTCATCAAGGTGGTCCAGCAGTGCCCCCCGACTAAGCACCTGGCACTAGTAAACACTCAGTGAGTATTTGTTCCCGCCTGTCTTCCCCTTGAGAAAGGGAGCCACCAGCCTATTTCAGTGATATGCACAACACACACCAATGTTCGAGAACAAGTACGTGTCTACCTGTAGGCGCCTGCCCAGCAGCACAAGGCCAGCACAGTATTTAACATTCTCCTGCTGGTGCCTATAAGGCCCAGCTGGCTCTCAGCCCATGCTGGCACCTTCTCTCCAACGTCCTCACAAACACTGTGGGCTCCAGCCTGCGACTGGCCATTTGGGCTGAGGTGGGGCAGACCTATCATTTACACGAAGCTCGGGCTTGCTCAACTCCTACTGACATTTTGCAGGGCTTAAACCAAAAGCAGAAGTAGAGTGCCCACAAGTAGCTATAGTTATCATTTAAAAAAAAGCTGACTTTTGAATGACTGAAAGTGGCAGTAAAACTTCACAGAAATAATTAACTGCAACCCCTTATTACTGACTCTGGTGATTGCTGGTTCCAGTTATTGATTAGCACGACTCTATTTTCTAGCAGCTAGAGGAACATGCACATGACATCTGCACTGAAGGTGGGGACATATGGGAGAGGGCCATGTTGAGAGTAGCCTGCTGTTCACACTGAGGGAAATCGGTGCATTGACAGAGCAATTGTCATGGGGTGCAGACAGGCTGGGCCCCACGAGCTATGGGACAAGCAAGGTTCACTGGCCTCAGTCTTCTCTGTAAACTGTCTGACCACAAGGCTGTGTGGAAATTCATCAAGGTGGTCCAGCAGTGCCCCCCGACTAAGCACCTGGCACTAGTAAACACTCAGTGAGTATTTGCTCCCGCCTGTCTTCCCCTTGAGAAAGGGAGCCACCAGCCTATTTCAGTGATATGCACAACACACACCAATGTTCGAGAACAAGTACGTGTCTACCTGTAGGCGCCTGCCCAGCAGCACAAGGCCAGCACAGTATTTAACATTCTCCTGCTGGTGCCTATAAGGCCCAGCTGGCTCTCAGCCCATGCTGGCACCTTCTCTCCAACGTCCTCACAAACACTGTGGGCTCCAGCCTGCGACTGGCCATTTGGGCTGAGGTGGGGCAGACCTATCATTTACACGAAGCTCGGGCTTGCTCAACTCCTACTGACATTTTGCAGGGCTTAAACCAAAAGCAGAAGTAGAGTGCCCACAAGTAGCCTGCCTCCAGTACCTGTTGCCTTAGTCCATAGAAGGTGGCTATGGGCTTGGCGGCATGGGGCGCAGCTCCATCCGCGTACACGTGCACATCGTCCTGGACGCTCTGCGCCGGCCAGAATCCAACCACGCCCCGGGCTTGGAGTTTCTTCTGACTAATCAGTGCTTTCAGCATATTTTGGGCATCATCATAAACTCGTTTGGCCTCTTCACCTAATTAGGAAAATAAATATAATAAATTATGTACAGATGCCATTGGTAACCAGCAAAGAATGCTCCTTTCAAAACGACTGCTCTGGTCTCCACCTGCTTTTCCCTCAAATGCTTTATCAGTGTCTATCAGCAGCAAAACTTCAAGGGAGCAACTAGAGGCCTAGTGGCTCCTGCTAAGTGTAGTTCCATCATCCACTTTGCCAGCTCAGTCATTTAAATGTTTCCATTTAACAAAAAGCAGAGCCAAATCTGTGGCTCCCAAAGCAATGTGTCAGAGCGAAACAAAGCAGGCCCAGTCCCCCTATCCGACTTTCCTCGTGCACACAACTCCCCTGACCTCATGGTGACCTGTGGGGACACGGGGCCAGCTGAGCAGCAAAGTGTGGCTCCAACCCCTTCAGGTGGCTTCAGCACTGCACATGGATGGACTGGCCCAAGGTGCCCAGGAACACCCTCCACACTTGGTTTCTCCATGTATGTCAGGCTCCTTTCAGTCCTAAGCCCATACTTCTACCAGTCCACCCCTCTACCTCACTCTGGTCTGGCTAGTAGTAAGACTTCTGGGGACACAGAAGATGAGCTGGAGCTCAGACAGGGGGTGTCAGGAGGCTTCCTCAGGGAAGGGGTATTTGCACTGCTTTTTGAGAATAACTGGGAGTTACTGAGCCTAGAACTGGCAATGTGGGATGGCATGGAAGAAAGGACATTCCAGGAAGAGGACACAGAGTATGAGAAGGCACAGAGGTGCATGCCAATTTGGGAAACTGCAGAAGCCCATTGCAACCAGAGGGCTGGGGGGCTGGAGTATTGGGGGCGATAAGCTACCAGTTGGTGGATGGATACACTGCCAGGTCCAAAGCCTGCCCCAAGACACATGGGGTCAAAGCCATTCAAAGGAGCTCAGACTTCTCTGGGTTATCGCCCCTTCACCCCCACCTATGCTCCGAGCACAATGGACTCCTGCAGTTTCCCAAATTGGCATGCACTTCTGTGCCTTCTCATACTCTGTGTCCTCCACTTGGAATGTCCTTTTCTTCCATGCCATCCCACATCTCCAGTTTCAGGCTCAGTAACTCTCAGTTAATCTCCAAATAGCAGTGCAAACACCGCTTTCTTAAGGAAGCCTCTGTGATCCCCCAGTCTGAGCTTCAACTCATCTTCATGTCCCCAGAAGCCTGGGCACAGCCCTACAGCAGGAACCTGACATGCTGCATGGGTACTGGCTGTCAAGGGAGGCTGCAGGAGGGCAGGAATTATATTGTTGTCTTTCATTTATCCCCAGTGTCCAGTACAGAGCCCGGCATGTGACTGATGTCGATAAACATTTACTAAAAGAATGGATAAATGAGATGTTAAATTTCATTGATAAATAAGGATCAACCTAATAGTTTAAAATCATCAAAGAGCTGATAGGTAAGCACTACATTATATCATATCATCATGTATCAGATCATATACATATCATGTCACTGCAGTAAACTACATCCTGTATAATCCAAATCCCCCGCCCACCACCTATTCTTGTCCTCGAAGCCCTGATACTATGTATGTTCCAAATATCAGAGCAGGAAGGAAGGACTTACTGAACTAACCTACGGTTTTATCATTAAATATCTTGGGAAAGCCTCGATTAGGATACTTCCCCCGGAGCTGCCAGACATCAAAGAAAGGCTTCCAGTCAATGTAGTCCACCAGCTTCTGCAGGTCATAGTCTTCAAAGATCCGAGTTCCAAGAAAGGTGGGCTTCACTATAGGAAACAGAATGGACGTCAATGCCACTGCTGTGACCTAGGGGCATTCCTGGCCAGCTCTCTGCTGATCCATTGGCTCCCATGCTTTGCCTCCCTCCTGTCACACGTAGGATTTATTTTACAAAGAGGGGAACTTTCAATTATCATGGAGGAGTAATTCTTCAGTGAACCTTGAATAAAGCTATTCTTCCCACGCAGCTGACTGACTACACCACTCTTAACTCCCCACTCAACCCTTCCACTTCCACGCCCACCCAAGAAAAAACAGACTTGGGCTAACCTTCGTTTGTACAAATGAAGACCATACTAAAATAAAGACCACTGTAGAAAGACACATATAGTAAGCTGCTGACATAGTTTAAAAACATGTATCAATAACCTATATTGCCTACTGATACATAGGCACACAGTCAAAGTGGAAGGAAACGCATGGGAAGGAGGTGTCAAATGCAGGATCATGCAGGGGAGGGGCGGAGGGGCATGTGGGCAACCTCACGAATAATAATACATGTGTATTATTGTTTCCTTTTTTAGAAATGGGCAGTAGGTTATTTCTTAAGTGGCTAGTAGGGATATATAGATATTCAATATATTATTATTTATAGTGAGTGAGTCTACAATACATCTTAAGTTAAATATCAGTAAAAGCTTCAGAGACAGGTGGTGCTGCTGGGCTTTGGGGGACACCAAGGGCAGCAGTACTGGGCCCCTCGCTGGGCCACATGGGCTCAGGCCAGAGGCCCACATGGCGGCCGGGCTGCCAGCTTCCCGGCCTCAGCCTCACTTGCTACTCTGTAAACAGGGATCTGAGAACTTCCACTCTCCTGGCAACATCAGGGACTGTGAGGTAACAGGGCAGTCTCCAGGGAATTTCTCTCATTATATAAGACAAGTGAGAGGTGAAAGTTTAGAAAAGTATGAGCAGCATCTCGGTGTGGCCTGGAAATCACCTTCTCAGGCATGTTCACAGTGACTTCCATTTCTTCCCGGTCATCTTCTTATTCTATAGGATAATCCCTTCTTTAAATTATTCCACTACTATCATTTGTGTGGTAATAAAGAAGAACTACAGACATCCTCCAGATCAGAGCTTCCTCCTGCTCTGGAGGAGGAAGGCAGGGAGAGGTGATGGGCTGCAGAGTCGAGTCATTGAAGGACATTATTTTAGAATAAGCTTGTTTTCCAAAGGCTAAGATTTGCCTGAAGTTTCACCAACAAGGACCTTAAGAGGACCCTTCTTTCTCACTTCATGGACTTCCTGCAGCCACCTGAAGACAGGGTTGTCCTCAAAAACAGTTCTGAGGCTGTACCTTTGCCTCAATACCCATTGCGCAGCCGGTGGAGCCTCGCAGAAACCCTGCATCGGGGGCTTAAAAAGCGTCTTGACCATCGCATGAGGCTGGGCTTTCAGACGCCTATTTTCCACTGAAATGAGTTTTGGGTGCTGGGCTTGGTTAAAAGGGACTTATCCCTGGGATAAACTTTCAGCTTCATATTGGGAAGTAAAGAGAAAGTAATAGTTTGGACTATATAGTGGTTTATATTTTCTCAAGGCTTATACATATTTTATCTTCACAACATTTCCATAAAATAGTTCCTTTTTTACACATTATAAACTGTGAAGCATGGAAGTTCGATGCTCAAGGCCACTCAGCAATTTAGAGTCAGAAGCCAAACTGGGATTGGAACTCAAGCCTCCCAACTCCCAATATGGCATTTTCTCCACCAAACTGCACTGAACTCGGCATGGCTGACATTCAAACCAAGCTCACCTATGTTTCCACTTTAATCCTTTCAACTCTGCTAAGCATGTATAGGATGCAGATGACATGAGCAAGGAAAGCTGATCTGAGAAATACCTTGGCAATATGGGGTCAGTTAACACAACCCCTGTTCTCCCTGTTCACATCTCAGTTTTGCGTTTGTATCTCATGCATCCCTGAGCCTGTCAAAACATCTTACACATGTCATTCCCTAGTGGACACCTATGTAAGGCAAGAAGGGTGGCTGGATATAAGAAAGGGAAGAAACCAAATAAAGGAAAAAGAGGCATCCATCTAGAGTGAGAGTAAACAAGAAACAGGAGATCCTGCTTTGCTGAGGTGTTTCACAGGTCTGCTCAACATGAAGGCAACTGCAATTTCAGACACTCCACATCTGCACGTGGGCCTGCCTGGGTCCCAGGCCGACCCAGCGACAGCACCAACCAGGCAGACCTCTGGAACAGGCTTCAAGCTGAAGGCCCACTCGAGCACAGCACAGAGGAAAGAGGGTGGGTTTAGAAGACAGATCACACATAGAATCCTAGTAACCTTTCAAGTTATCGCTCAAACCTCAGTTTCCTCATGTTCAAACAAGACTAACAGCCCATTCATTACAGAGTTGTGTCAAGGGCTCAGAGCTGCCATGGGCCAATCTCAGGGCAGTGTCTGGTTCTACATAAATGGCACTGATTTCCTTTTATTTTCAATCATCACTCTCATTCATCATTATTAGACACAAGTAAGAGTTGGTGGCTGCTCACAGGTATCACATGCAGCCTTTCTATAACCAATAACCAAACAGACCTGGATGAGGCTCCGACAGCCAGTCAATATGGAAACCATTTTTTCTAGCTTGACTTAAGGTCAAGTATCTTCTCTCCTACGAAAAAAAGGAAAGTTACTTAGTCAGAGATGCTGAATAAGCTACTATGAAAGTAGGTCTGAGAGAGCAAGTACATAAGGTTTGCAAGAAAACAAATGCTCATATTAATATAGAAGCTCTTCCTTTTCCATCCCACAAGGCTTCATATCAGCATCAGAATAACAGAGCAAGAACTCAGTGAACATCCATTAAGCAGTGATATGTAAACACAAGACGGACCTGCAGCCTTGCTGTGAGGTAAGCAGGTTCTTTTAGAACAAGGCCAGTGTGACTGGCTGCGTCGACTGCCTTAAAGATCAGAAGGCAGAATGAAGCAGCTGACAACTGTGGGCAGACCTAAGGGTAGGGGGAAGCCATCCAGAGTCTGGGCTGGCCAGCCCTGCAGAAACATAGATTTTTGTCGTGCTGCCTGTTCTCTCATTTCACTTGCCTAGCCAGCCCCAGTACATCTGCTCCAGGAGAAGCACCCCAGTGACTTCTAGAGGGCGGGCATGCTTATGCTCCATGGGCAGCCTGAAGCTCACCCAGAGAGGGGCAGTCCTTGAAATATCATTCTGCAGGTGGTGCTAGGCAATCGGGGAGAGGCTTACAACAGTCCTGGCTAATTTTCTTCCATTACTTCCTCAAGAATAAAGATCTATGGGAGTCATTTCTGTACCCTGTCTCAGCTCATTTTCCTGCTGGTTATGAGCTCATGTTTTATTCATTCTCACAACTCTGGTATCTAGCACAGCACCTAACACCTACTGCATACCCAATAAATGTTTGCTGGAATAAATAAAATTATTTTTAATATAACCAAAAATTATTGGGAACTTAGACACTGAGGAACCCTGCTAACTAGAAAATAGGACTCTCCAAAATGATCCTAAACCTTTACCCTCCTCAAAACAGTAAAGTCACATTATAGACTATAGAATCATTTTATTACCCAAATAAGTGGGAATCTGTCTCCATCACTTACCTTGAGAGACTCATAATGGTCCTGTCTAATACCTTCGTATTCTTCCACTATCTCCTCAAAGTAGTCATCCTTTAGATTCTCATCTAGTAGTTGAGAACACTGCAAAAGCAAGGTCAAGGGTCAGTGTACACAGAGCAGTGAAGAAGATAAAATAGGTACAATACTAGCCAGTTGTGTGACACCTCCTTCAGGAAACCTTCCCATGTTAACATCAATTCCTCTCCTTTACCAAATTCTCTGGTTCCTGTCTGGGTTGCAGTAAAGGGCTAATTCAGTACGCCTAAGACGTTCAAATCTGGCACATAACAAAGAAACGATTGGCTCTTGATGGCTCCTGGGACATAAGCTCTAAGCCCTCGGAATATGCTGCCTGTTAAGAGTACCTTTGTCTACCTGGGGCCTTGGGCCACCCCAGATGGTTTATGCTACCAAAAAGATTTATAGGGTACGTGGCTCACGCTTCATTTTTTGAATGCTGGAGGGGCTGAAGACTGAGTATAAGGTCAGTGTGGTAAGATTCCAAGCCTGCATGACTGACTCCCAGGAGCCTCAGGATATCAAGGCTCTGGGGAGCTCCCCTGGTGGCAGTGCTCTGTACTGCGTGTTACATGTTGTCACACTTCACTAGTGGAGGAATAAAGCACTGTCCATATGAGAGGACATGGGAAGCTCATGTCTGATCTTGCTTGGATTCCACTCTACGCATCCTTTGCCCTTGCTGATTTTAATCTGTAGCCTTTCATGGTAATAAACGATGATTGTGAGTCTAACTGCATTCCGGAGTTCTGTGAGTCGTTCTGGCAAATCACTGAAACTGGGGGTGGTCTTGGGGACCCACAGCCCACTGGTTAGGTACTCCTCTTTGGTGTTTCAAAGATCCTTGGTTCATCTCTCCCTCACTGAGCTTACCACAGGCTCTTAGTCTGTCAGTAGTGGACAAGTACCCTGGGACTCCACCTTAACCACATTCATTTCTAGCTCAGTGCCTGGTGCGTACCAGATGCATCCTCACTACCTGTCTGCTGAAGGAATGAGGCCACTCCTCAACCACAAGCTTCTGCTAGATAAGAAAGGAAACCCATCTTCTGAGAAGTGAGGCTACTCAGTAAACTGTAAAAGTAGTATCAGCTGAATCTTATTTATGACTGCTTATCAAGTTGGTAGAATACCTCCCACCCAAGCTCAAAATAACATCACCGAGAAAGAAGAAATGGCTGTTACTGATGACATCAGTTCAAACACCCAAGAGTGGCCCCATCTTTGCATCCTCCAGCAGGATTTTAACACAAAAAAGGGAAGCTCAGTATCATAATCTGAAATGGACAAGTTAGACCAGGTGATGGCTAAAGAGCCTACCAGCTTCAAATTCTATAATTCTATGTGAATTTTCTAAGTATCTCTAATAACAATCCAACCACCTATGAGTTTATATACAACTATGTCACTTTTAATATTAAAGAACATAATCAGAAAAGGCCATCATGGCAAGCCTAAAAATAGGCACCACAGAGCGTTGCCCAGTCTTGCATTAACCCTACTTCAATGGGGTCCTCATTGAGGAAACCCAGTAGAAGAGAAGTGAATATAAGTAGGGATGCTTATTTCTGAGCTCCCCAATGTATATACAACCAAAGTTTTAGAAGATTGTTGCATTCTGCTAGATTTTAAATTCTGAGAAGGCAAAACCCTGATTTCCTTAACAGACTAAGAACTTAACAATACCGTGACACAGGCATACTGGGTAGAAAGAACATACCACTACAGTTAGCACCTTCCACACCCATTAGGCAGCCTGTGCCTGGGTCCATAGTGGCAATACCCACCCTGCCCAGTCTGGCTTGCTTGATGGAAACAAGTTTACAGACAATTAATTATATGGGCTACTCTAAGTAAAATCAGAATTCATCATGTGGTTTCATGTTAACCATTCAGACAGTACAGCTTTCCTGTTCCTTCCTGCACTATTCATTTTTCATGGGAATAGCAGCCCAATGAGAGGGAATAAGTTGTGGAGCACAGGCCTGGGACAAGCTCAGTGCAGTTAGACCAGAAGACTGAACCAACAGTCAGCACGAACACGCTGCACATTGACCCCTGGAAAATGTCACTACTAATCTCTCAGATGGTGGCATCAGACTTACATTCTAGTAATTTCAAAAAGGCGGCTATTTCTTTGTCTATGAGAAGGGCTAATGTGGATAAAGTGAAGGTTCCTGTGGCCAGGATTCTCACCTGGCCCTCGTTGGCTAGCTCACTACACACATGTGGGCAATGTGTAGCTACTGACTCTATATAAAGAGCTCCACCCAGTGTTCTAGGGGACATGGTGGCACAGCTGTAAGGCTGCAGGAGAGCAGAGCAGAGGCTGGAGTTACAGCAGAGCTGAGGACAAAGACTGGGATGGCTGTGCAGGCAGAGAAGCCCAGAGGCAGAGACCAGCTTGCTGCATGCAGACTCGCTCTGAGTGGATGGGATCTTAGTGATTGACCTGACACTGTGGAAATAAAGTTGGGTATAAACGCTTTCACCCCAAGAACATTCTACTCTCATATGTTTGGTCACATTGAAACCATAGTGAATTTACCCAGGGTTGAAACCCACTGGCAAGACAGCCAACCCCTGCGGGTTGCCCACTGGACCAAACAGGAGCACAAGAGCCCGCACCTTATCCCAAAACCCTACTCTGCAGGGCTAATGCCACTGGAAGCTTGGGCTGAGGACACCACAAGGAACAGTAGCAAAATGCACCAAGTTTGCTTTTCCAGAGCCAACAGAAATTCAGAGAACTGTTGGAAGTTGCAACTGTGCCTGGATCCAACTTAAAATGGAGTTGGAGATGAACCAGAAACACTCCCAGATTTCCTCAAGTCACTTTTCCTCATTCAGACTAAAATCTGTGCCTCTGGGCAGGTTCAACCACCATTTTTAGGGCATGCAATGTATGCAGCAGCATGGTAACATACACCAACACAAGGTTAATGCAAGTCCTGCCCCACCTGTTAATTTCCTGATAATTTCACCAATCCCTGATAAACATGCATAAACCTTCTGTATACGCTCTGTCCTCCCTCTGAATTCAGGGAGACCTATTTGAACCTTGCCTGTCTCCTTGCTGATAGGTCAGCCTCACAACAGAGCCTCTCCTTTGGCAAATGCAGGGATCCCATGTTTGGCTTACGGCATGTTGGGCAGTGGACCCTTATCAGCTAGGCCCACATTGCTTAGCTCCTCAGGACAGCAAATTGCTTAGCTCCTCAGGACAGCAAAGGGGTCAAGAAGCCAACTCCTTCCCAGCTAAAGCCCTTCCCCTACCTGTAGGGGCAATATTACCACTGTAAACTAAATAGATCGACAGTGTGGCCTCCAAATGGGAAATCTTCAGAGTCCTTCATAAGCAATTGAAAACAGCAGTAAGCCTCAAAAAGAGGCCCATTGGTTACTCAACCATGGACTTGATTCAAGCTCCTTATGAAGCACAATTACATTAACAATCTAAATGTAAGATAGAAAAAACTGCTTTAAAATTGATTCGTAGAAACAGAGTTTATTTGCATATTAGTTTACATCATTGACAATTAAAAAACTGAAATTTTATGATTTCCCTTTAATTTATTTTATCCTTCTTAATAGAGGCAAATTGTTAAATATTAACAGGAGCAAATCTGACATAGCACAGAGTAAGGCCATCTGTACTCAAATTCCACACCTGTCACATGATGGATGTGCAGCCTCAAGAGAATTACTAACCTCCTCATTCCTGTTTCTATGTCTCTGAAATGGAGATAATGACAGTGTCTACTGCATGAGGATAAAAAAAATCCATGGAAAGCACTTAGCATGGTGTCTGCACACTGTAAATTTTTAATAATGTTAGCAATGATTATATAACTTTCATATAAATAAATTCACAGATCTGAAAGAATTCATTTGGAAAATGGCTCAGGAAATGTGGTCGCCCTAGTTCAGTCTGCACGGTATCACCTGGGTCTCACAAATACCAGTCCCCCTCAGTACCTTTCCTTTACAAAATGTGAAGGTTGGACTAGATTTGGGTTTTTAAATAGTGCTCTTTCTTTCTGTGAGAACTAGGAGTGGATGAGGATGGAAGGGGTTGCTTGTATTTGTACTATACTGGGTTTCCAGGAAACACATCACTTGAAAACAAGGTTTCTGTGGCCAAAACTTGGAAACCACTGGACCACATGGTCACTCAGATTCCCTCCAGCTACTATATCTTATTATTCAATGAAAATAATGAAGCATGTATCAAGAAGAGGATGATACTAGGCTTCACAGGGAGAAAAGCAAGAAAAAGCATTTAGCTAAGTTGCTTACTACATTACTTGAGAAAAAGAATCTATTATTTTAGGTTTTGAACATTTGGTGAATGTTTTTGTCTTTGGATAGGATGAACTGGCCAAGGTTAAAAGTTTTTCTATCTAGAAATAGGTCATTTTTTAAAATTCTATGCTCATTTTAGCTCTGGCATGGAATTAAGAAAGTATAAATTTATACAGCCCAATGGCTGGGCTCTCTCTAGGTTGGTATCAAGGTCAAAGTGTCTTGGTACCATTCCTCTGTCACTCAGACTACCATCTCCAAGGTGGACCGGGAGGGGCTGCTGCCCTGGAAGTGCAAGCACAGGTTACACTCAGCTGGCCCTCCTTCCTACAAAGTCCACAGCTGCATGACACACCCACACGCTTCAGGCTAGTCCTTCACATTTTTCAGTAGAATTGGACAAAAGCAAATAGAAGATCTTGCACAGTACCCTAGCTCTTAATGCCCCTTTGTTCTCTTTTAAGACACATGGAAGTAATGAAGGCCTCACACTTACCACCACCACACTCTTGGACGCGTCCAGGACGTGGATTACAGGCGCACTATATCTCGGAGCTATTTTAACTGCTGTGTGGGTTCTGAAAAGAAGGGTCAGGAAGAAAAACATCCATTAGCGCTGACAGTTCTTACACAACTCCTGTTCAGAACCATTAGAGATAATGTGTTTCTACAAGGCTTTCCTGAGAATGATTCCAAGGTACTTAACAAATATTACACTTCAAATTTCCCTTTTAAAATGAGAATGATTTTCTCCCCACACTAATATGGGGGAACCCAAGGGGAGAAGACATGGACTTGTTGGCCCAGGCACAAAGAAGTCTGTGACAAAATGAGAACGACTTTGTCCTCAGCTGTCAGCCAGAGAGACAACAAGCGTGCAGCCTCACACTGGTTAGCAGCCCCTCTGCTAAGGCAGCCAACCAGCCCAGGCAATTGCACTCTGCTGTCATAAAGGTTACATTTAGTTTTTTCCTCCCAAAGAGCTGGGATACCAATCAGGGCCCCTGGGGAACCAGCCATCAGGCAGGGCACACAAGACCCCACCCTAGCTGCTGTTCTCTTTTCCTGAGAGACATCCCCACTCCTTGGCCCCAACCCCACCTTGTCCTTGTAGTATGGAACCTCAGACTCTAACTAACAGAAATAACACAGAGAGGCAAAAACAACAAACATATTTTATACTAACATTGGCCTAGCCCCAAATCCCTATTGTCAAAACTCGAAAATGTCAATACTGAGGAAGAACCATCCTTCAATCCTTATAATCACCTAATAAACTAAAGCGCAAAACACACTGCCCAGTGATTACTGTTAATAGCAATAACATAAGCTACACACCGGCTATTTCACTGTAGAAGATAACACGTGAAAGTGAGAGCTGAAGGCGTACATATTCTCCCTTACGGAGCTGACAGGCCCTGAAGACAAGAGAGAGGTGCGGGCTCAGCCAGTCCCACTGAAAGGGGGGCACTGTCCCCACAGGGTGAGCGGTGCTCTCCAGCTTTTCTCCTCCTTCCTTCTCCCCTCATGTGGCAGCGCCATTCCCCAGAGCAGATACTTTCATATTCTTTCCCCTCAACTACAATGTACTTTCATTTGGGAAGATGTCCAGAATATGCTATCATGTGAGGAAAAAATCAAAGTAGCAGAACAGTGTGTTTAATACAATTCTGTTTTTTTAAAAGCAAACACTACCAGCCTCAATCTGCCCTAGCCAACCTAATATACATGTCAGTGTATTTAGAAAAACACAGAGAGATACACAGCAGTATCAACATTGGTTGTATGGAGGCTGGGGTGGGGCTGGAGATACCACATTTTACTTCACATTCCTCTGAACTTCCTGATATGTTCTAACAAGTGTGGATCACTGAGGTAACTTTTAAAAACCAAGAGAATACCACAGTGCTGTATATATGTGAGTGTTTTTAAGAAACTTCTCATGGAAAGCTCTAAAAATTCATTCCCAATAAGACAGGCAAGACCACTAACATTTCACCTGTCCCCATTCTAAGCACATCTCTACATATAAACAGAAAGTAAAGGATTAAAGCCATAAACCACAAGAATTGAGCTTGAAGATGGAAGTTCAGGCCTAAGCCAGTTAGTGTAAGCAAGATACATCATTTGGACCAGAAGGCTGGGTGCAGAGCCATAGGGGAAGTGGGCCACGGCCTGGAGCAGCGAGTGAACTCCACTGCCCCAACAACAGGTTTGTATCCGCACTGCACTCAGGGGACCAAAGATTTGAAGATTATGTTCCATTTCTTGGATGGGGAAGATTTTCAAACAGCAGGAAAAGTTATAAAGAAGAAGCTGCTTCCAGTTTCAAAACAGAACACAAGTCAGACTATGCTTGCTTCCTCTTCTTCAGATGGTCAGCAACTTGAGCACATGGAAATATTTTAACATATATTCTGCAGGCAGTTGCTCCAGGAAACATTTAGACTGATGTGACTTAGATGATATTTCTCTTAAGGAGAACCAGTACAATTTAAAAATTTTAAAGCAACACAATTAATATTCATTAGGCATCCACAGTCTCAGTACAATTCTGGCCATTTTCTCTTTGATTATCTTCTGGACAAGGGCTCTGAAAAGAAACTGATGGATTCCTCTATTAAAAATAAGTAAATTAGTAAATAAAAGCGAAGTGCTACTTTCCAACACAAAAACTGACAAATCTAGATGAGCACAGGCATGAAATTTGAGCTTCCTAAGCCATTGAGAGTCCTTTAAATTTCCTTATAAAATAATTTGATATTGATTTCACTTTCTTCTAAGCTTCCATTTATGCCAGCTTCTCCAGGTGGAAGGTGACATCTCTCAGGTGTCTGAAAAGATGCAAAACATTGAACTCTCTCCTCCCCTTCCTGCCTACCAGGAACAAACGGCTAGATGCTGAGGCTGAAACGCAAATCCACCTCTGTTAAGTCACTCATCAACCTTAGGATTTAATTAGTTGACTCCAATACTTGCCAAATGGGCATGGGTTTTAACCTGATTCTTTTTAAAATTCTGAAAAAGAGGAAGCACTCTAAGCATTTGTTCCCTGTTATATCCCATCCCAGAATCAATTTCAAGTGATTTATATAACTGCAACATGACCAAAACTTAAAATTTGAAGAGAAAAACATGAGAAAGGGAAAATTAAGGAGCCATGGGGAGTAAGATCAGCATCTAAAATTCATTCTATGAAGCCCCACACCCAGTCCTCAGCTCTCAGCTTCCCTGCTGTTGATTCAAAGAGCAAAATAATACCAGTTATGTGATTCAGCACCTTACTTCCTAACAATTAAAAAAAAAGCCTCAGGAAATTACCTCTGGCTTTGAGCAATGTGACTTCCTATTGAATTCTCTGTTACTCAAAAAAATAATTGAAAAAGACATTTTTGCAGCTATTGGCTCTGAACCAGTTAAAAATTGAAAGCTAACTGCCAGACTTGTGCCCTTGGGAAGTTCTGTGGCTAACAGGGCCAGATTTCCCCTAATGTCATTTCTAGTTTGTGATACCCAAACCATCTGTATTATAGATAGGAGAACACTTAGCTTTCTCTGCTCTTATAGCTACAGGTTAAAAAGGGACAGTCTAAGCATATTTCTACCCATATATGGCTCCAAATCTGTATAACCCTTTCAACTTCTCCAAGGATCCATCCACATTAGGCAGCTGTAAGCATCATTTCTAGTATCCTGGGGGTACGGTTCTCATTCCATCATGCTACTGCAGGTCACGGAAGTCTGGAAAGCCATGACGTTATACTCCCTCTGTGATCTGCTTTCAGGACAACTTGGGAGTTGAGTTCCAGATATTCTACATCTTTTTCAGGAAACCTCAAACTGGAAAAACCCAACTTGAGCCGCCATCTGCTCAAATATAGTTAGCAACAGAAAGAACTGGAAGCCCACTGAGCCCTCAATAGGTCTGTGGGAGGTAATAATAAGGGCTCTCTGAGGGCTTCTGAGACAGTTAAATTCCTGAACACTTTCTAGCAAAGCTAACTCTCCTAGGAGTAGATGACTTTCTTATGCAGATGCAAAATCACTAACATAAAGGAAAAAAATCAGACTTCAAGAAAATAAGAACTTTTGTTATCCAAAAATAGCACTGAGACAGCAAAAGCCAAGCCATTTCAGAAGAATCTATTTGCAATATATATTTCTGATAAAGGAATTAAATCTAATATAAATATAAGGACTATATACAAATCAACAGAAACAAAGACAGAATACCCAGTTTAAAAGAATTAAAAAGCACACCCAAATGGTCAATATACACATGAAAAGGCACTCAACATCAGCAGTGGGTAGCGAAATGCAAATGAGAACACTGTCAAGATATATTACATATACACTAAAATGGATAACACTGAAAAAGATGTAGAATATCTGGAACTCTAACGATTGCTGGTGGGGTGTAAGTTCATATGATCATTTTGGAAAACCACCTGGCAATATATAATGCATAGCTTATGATAGAGCAAGTTTGTTTCAGAGCAGGAACACACATATAGCAGCATTCTCTGTAGTAACCCCAAACTGGAAAAACCCAAATATCCACCAATAGTAGCATAAATAAAATCACTATATTACACAATGGAAAAAAAAATCATTACAGCAATGACTTTGGGCCTCACAGACATAATGTTGAGCAAAATAAATTAGACGTAGAAGAATACATGCAACAGGACTCCATTTATACAAAGCTGAGATGCAGACAGAAACAACCTAAAGACACAGAAGACAGAATAGTGGTTATTTCTGTTGGAAAGGATCACCAGCGTGGGAACCCAGCAAAGTTCCCCATGTGCCATTAATCTAGGGATGGTTACTGGGGTGGGGGGGTTCATTTTTGTAAAAATTCATTAAGTTGTATGTCTATGATTTGTGTGCTTTTTTGTATGATTGCTATACTTTGGTAAAAATGTTTACTTCAATAAGAGGACTTGATGAAGCAAAATGGCAGGTCTGAGACCTCATCCACCGACACCACTTTAGAACAGACTCGTAACGGAATTTTACACCGAAGTTCTTGGAGGGTGACTAAGAATCTGGTTCTCAAAGCCTGCTCTGGCCCTGCAATGGAGAAGGGGAAGTTCACCTGGAAACTATACCAGAGAAGCCACTGCCAGTAGCTGTTACTCTCCAACAAAAGAGGAGAACCAGGAAAGGAACAGCTCATCAGGAAACAAAGCACTAGTGTTCTGGAAGAAGCCTTGGGAGGTCAGTGGACCCAGCTTTCTGCCTTTGGGAAGGAAAACATAACAGTTTCCCAGACAATAAGAATAGAGATTTTGCAACAGCATGAAGAGATAGTGGGCGACTTCTGATCTGATTAGTTATAACTTGATATACCAACTTATAATTGTTAAAAGCCTTTATTGCTAATTTTGCAAATTATGAATCTTGGGAGGCTAGTCATGTTGCTTCTGAATGTTTTTTTAAAAGCCTCTTGAATCTGGTGGCTCTTACTTGAGATCTAATAGAGATAGAGATATAGCAGAATGCACTACTTGGTAATGTTCCAATTTGCACAAGCAGCAATAAGTGGTTTCTTGATCTTGAACTGAATGTAGTGTCCTACCACTTAAAATGGTTCTTATATTGAAGCCAGCATCACATTTACATAACTCACAATATATTTCATTACATTTGTTCATTTAAATATTTACTTATTCCATTTTACAACTCTGGTTTTAAAAGGTATCTCATTCTGACAATAGTTTGCAGATTCTCTTACATTCTCTTTACTAAGCTAATGAATATTCACAATATAAACATCAAGTACACAAGCTCAGCTCACTGAAATCCCAGTCCCCAACGGTTGGTCATATCCCTGGAGAATAATCTGCCACATATCCTAGTGGGAAAGTCCTTCATGGAAAAACAAATCCAGTTGCATAACATGGGCAACACCCAACCGCCAACTATTGAGTCCTTCAAGTATGAAGATCAGTTAATGGATAAATGACATAGAACACTATGCTTACTCATGAAAATGATCTATTCTGATTATAAATGGGATGATGGTTAATTTTATGTGTCAATTTGGCTGGCCATGGGATCCAGTTTTTGGTCAAACACCAATCTAGATGATTCTTTGAAGGTATTTGTCTAGATGTGATTAGTATTTATATCAGTAGACTTTGAGTGAAGCAGACTATTCCTCCATGATGTAGGTGGGCCCCATCCAATCAATTAAGGACCTTAATAAAAAGACTGAAATCTCCCAGGGAAAAAAGGAATTCTGCCTCCAGTTAGCCTTTGGACTCAAGATGTAATTAATTGTTGCCTGCTCTCCAGACTGCCAGCTTTCCCTGCATATTTCAGACTTACCAGCCCCAATAATCATACGAACCAAGTCCTCAAAACAAATCTTTCTGTACACATTCTATTGATTCCATTTCTCTGAAGAACCCTGACTAATACACATGGCTTAACATACAGTTCTTTCCAGTGTGAAAGAAATTTTAGAATACTTCTGACCAGACCTCTATTGTATATTCACATTAGAAAAATAAACTGCTCACTTGTAGGGTATTCAAGTTTAGTGCTCCACTTGGGCACCATTCCCTGCCAAAGTAAACTACATAAGGCATAAGGAATGTGTCACAAAAAGTCTAGTACTCAACCACTTAAGACCCCAAATACCTAAAGCAATTCTGAGAAGGAAGAATAAAGTGGGGGGGGGGGGGG